GGATTTACGTGTGTATGGGAGTATGAAATCAATTTCCGTGCATGGAAAATCGGAAGGTAGGGTGTGTCAAAATTAACAAATGATTGTACTTTTGTTTAGTAACTGAGTTGTTATTATTTCAATCTGATCATGTTGATTAGACAAACTGGTGATTAACATTATGAGCTTCGAACAGCAAAACGTGGATGCAAAGGCATCCATTCCAGCGAGTCACCGAAAATGATACGGTCATGTTTGAACTTTTGTCGAAACCATCAATGCCCAACCTTTAATTTCGTCACGATTATATATTTTTGTTTGTCGTTGACATACACAGAGACTCCTAGAACCGCCCTCGGACACTATACTTACCTACAATTATCTTCTTGTCGCCGTCGCAGCTAAGTTCACGATGGATGCCGCCACATTTGAAGTTGACTTTACGCCCCGGCCATGCACAGAGGTGACTTCAAAGGTCTCGCTGACGACGGTGCTGTTAATGTCGACAACGTGGTGTCTGGGTACCAGCTCCTGCTGGACACTTCCGTGATGAGGTCGAACGCAGCCTCCTCAGTGCAGTAGTAGTTGGTGATGTTGACAGTGAGAGTCAGGCTTGTACCAGGAATCAGGGATCCATTCCTGGAGCTGCTAATGTCACACTCCGGAGGACCTGTGTATAAATAATACCGAATATGGAGTCCACAACGTTAACAAGACGTTCACTTAAGTGTTTATAAAGAAAGGGTTGTTTTTTCATATTCTACCCACCATTCCCCACTCGCAACCTTTTTATAAATTTCAATAATATGTTTAACAGATACATTTTTAATTTACAATGGGCAGCAGAGTTTTGAGCAACGCTAATCAAACAGTAACTCATGGAAGCATGTGTATAAGTATCACAAAATCAAAATAATATATATTGTAACCTGTCTGACATGTACCTATTTTGCATCAGTTTTGTATATTTCTGATGGACCAATGTATGATAAGTAAAGACAACATGGACTTATATATAGGTAATGGCATGTCGTTTTACCAATAAGTCAAAAAGGTATATGTTATGTGTCAATTATGTTACAGTCAAGAGTGCTCGGTTTTAATCAGAATACCCCGTTTTCCACAGTGACACAAAAGAAAAATGCAACCAGTTAGCATCTTCTTTATTATTAATATGAATGTGTCGGTGTATCTACTAGCACCCTTATCAAGCAAGTAGATACACCGGGCGCTTATCCATAGAACGCCCTCGCTTGTTCGATAACGGTGTTAGTAGCTGCAACCAAACGCCATGTTAACAATAAAGAAGTTGTATATCCATAGAACTCTCCTCGTTGTTCATCACACCAACACATAAATGCCACTCAAAGAAGTTAGCAGTTCTAAATAATGATTTGTCTGGCATTTTTTTTAATGTCAGAAAGTTTAAAAGGAAATTTTAGAAAACCTGATGCTAAAAATATTCAACACAAAACTGAAACTTCAAACTGGTAAGTTTATGTTAAACACTCGGGTTCAATAACAATTGTTATGGGTTTGGGGAATTCGCCTCATTATTCTGAGAGTGAAGGTTCGACTCTCGGACGGGACTAAACCCAAGCCAACTGAGTAAGTGTTATCCCACATATAACCAGTGACATCTAGTCACTTTTTAAAGGCATGTGTATTCATTGTGTGAGTAACTGCCTAAACCAGCGTCCTTTCTGTGATCCTATTGATGTGAAGGTAAGAGAACATACGTCAGTTTTGTTACGGTAGTCCAATGTGCCAACAGGACAAAGTGGTATATTTATAAAACACATTTGCATGTAAGAAAGACTGTTATATTTGAACATGACACAGGGCGCCAAAACAAAACATCAACAAAGGATAGAAAGATAGTTGAATTGTTTTAAAAGAATCAAGATCTACTTGATACGTAACGCCGAGAAAACAACACATACTAAAATAATACGTCATATGATATTGAGATATCGTTTCTCGTGATATTGTCGATTTCACCCATTGTAAATGCAATATGTATTCATGCATACAAAGGGGCGGTGGGGTAGCCTAATGGTTAAAGCGTTGGCTCGTCACGCCCAATACCCGGGTTCGAATCCCCACATGGGCACAATGTGTGAAGTCCATTTCTGGTGTCCCCCGCCGTGATGTTGCTGGAATATTGCTAAAAGCGGCGTAAAACCAAACTCAGTCAGTCAGTCAGTCATGCATACAAACCTGCGACCGTTAAATGGCATGCAGGCAGTCTGCCAGAACGTGTGTTGGAAATTAACCATGTTCCAGCATCTCTGAATTGAACCCTCCCTATCGTAAGGGTGGTTATATTTTCGGCATTCTTCTTGGTTGCAGAGTACGTAGTCGTGCCGCTGCATTGTGGACTACAACTGACGACGTTCTGGCTGTCGAGGGGGCGTACCCAAGCGAAACGATCGTAAACAATCTTTGCAGAGATGTTGTAGGATCCGGAAAAATGAGCTATTGCCGGGCATTCTGTCGATACTGTAACAGAGGTAACCAAGCATCGGTAATCAGTATCATTCTTCTGATTCAATAGACATTCGTACACGTGATTGAGTTTATTTTTATAGCAATGCATGTTCCAGTTTGTTAATGTCGACGAGCAGTTGTGACAATATCATCAGTGAAACACGCGAATCTTGTAAAGCGTAAAGCCATACTCACTAACTCATCACTAAGATACCGCGTACAGTGCTTCTCACACTCAGTGAAACGCATATTTGTTTAACGTTTAGGCTTGAGGAAGCAAATGTATACAAGGCGCAAGTAGACGTTTTGTTGTTATTGTTGCCGTGCCTACTGCTGTTGCTATTGCAACTACTGGTGATCGCTTTGTCAAACCTTACCCGTCACAAACTGTGCAGACCACAGTATGATGCTGTCAATCAATACCAAGTCTCAGACGTATGAAATCATTACGAAGCTTGTTATTACGTAAGTTGTATAGATACGACTCAGGTTCAAGTAAAGATTTAAACTCACGATAACAATCATATCTTGAACTTTCATATAAAGATGAATGCCAGTCTTGTTTAAAGATATCGATAGCCCTGGTACGAAAATGTTTTATTAATGCATTAACGTCGCCCAGGGTCAGGGATAATAAACAAACAAATCCAAAGCCAGTATCTAAGCAAAAGATTACTTAATACCGGGATGCCCAAGTATTTTACCAATATTATCAAGATGGCAGTCATATTGTAGGTTTTTGGGCAGTCGATGTTCTGGCGTATTTATTACTTTACACCAGTACTTTAAACAGCGAGACTAAGAAATTATGTACAAAGGAAATCTCCCACATTCACCGCATCCATATTATTATGGGTAGACTTCCCAACAATTAAAACCTTTACATGCAAGAAGGTGAACCTTTTCAATTACTTGGGAATCAAACAATTTGAAAAATATATTGGGGACCAACAACCCCAACTTTGGTGTAACAGAGAACAATTGAAGTAGGCCCCCTTTTTCTCTAATTACCAAATTAATAATGGATTTGCTCAGATTTAGAGTATGTGTAAACAGTATCCCTAGATATTTATATTCGTTAACAACAGTCATACCTTCACATTTAAAGTACCACTTTTCTATAGCTGCCGGACCACCCTCACGGAAAACAACAATTTTGGTCTTTCAAGATTAACATCAAGACGCCATTTATCTGAATAAGATGAAAGTGTGTCATGTCTCTGAAGGCCAATAACAATACTTGACATAAGGATCACATCGTCGGCAAAAAGTAAAATGAAAAGTTCAAGAAGATCAGGAAATAATTGGATGCCATGTCTGCCAGATTGTATAATGTCAAAATGTAGTTCGTTGATAAAGAACGAGAACGTATGGGACTTAGAGCACAGCTTTGTCGTACACCAGAAAGACAATCAAAATAGTCACTTAAAGCATTATCATATCGAACACAAGACTTTACATTTGAATACATTGACCTGATAATATCAAACATTTTCCCTTTAAGACCCCAATTTCTAAGACATTTCAACATTTTATCCCTATCAACAGAATCAAAAGCCTTTCTAAAATCAACAAAAGCTACAAACAATTTTCTTTTACTAAAAGCTAAACATCGCTCAATCACTGAGTATACGGTAAAAATATGATCAAAGGTTGAGTATTCCTTTCTAAATCCAGCTTGTGAATTTGGAATCAAGTTCCTCATATTTGACCACTGTGTTAGCCTATTATTGATAATAGATACAAATGTTTTACCAACAACACTTGTCAGATAAATGCCACGATAACTGTTAGGGTTATTTATGCTTCCATTCTTAAACGATGGAACAATTATTGATTTAGCCCATTCAGAATGAAAACATCTAGAATCAAATATCCGATTAAAGCTTTTAACTAGAAACGGCTTTATCTCAGGCCAGGCAATTTTGATCACCTGCTGCGCGGGGTTAGGTGACAACTGAGAATGGATGTTATCTTGAATTTTCACACGGCAAGACAAAGACATTGAAAAGATCTTGACATTGTACGTGTGGTTGTTATTTGTTTTTTCATATGAATGAAAGATCTTCCACAGATTCTCCCACACACAAGAGTGGCATTCACGTTTTTAATCCCTGAAAAAATACCAATAGGCTTGGCTCAAAACATATAGCAAAGATACTCGTGCACCATAAGGATTTACGTGTGTATGGGAGTATGAAATCAATTTCCGTGCATGGAAAATCGGAAGGTAGGGTGTGTCAAAATTAACAAATGATTGTACTTTTGTTTAGTAACTGAGTTGTTATTATTTCAATCTGATCATGTTGATTAGACAAACTGGTGATTAACATTATGAGCTTCGAACAGCAAAACGTGGATGCAAAGGCATCCATTCCAGCGAGTCACCGAAAATGATACGGTCATGTTTGAACTTTTGTCGAAAACCATCACGTGCTCAATCCTTTAATTCGTCTACGTCACGATTATATATTTTTGTTTGTCGCTGACATACACAGAGACTCCTAGAACCGCCCTCTCGGACACTATACTTACCTACAATTATCTTCTGTCGCCGTCGCAGCTAAGTTCACGATGGATGCCGCCACATTTGAAGTTGACTTTACGTCCCCGTCATGCACAGAGGTGACTTCAAAGGTCTCGCTGACGACGGTGCTGTTAATGTGTCGCACAACGTGGTGTCTGGGTACCAGCTCCTGCTGGACACTTCCGGTGATGAGGTCGAACGCAGCCTCCTCAGTGCAGTAGTAGTTGGTGATGTTGACAGTGAGAGTCAGGCTTGTACCAGGAATCAGGGATCCATTCCTGGAGCTGCTAATGTCACACCCGAGGACCTGTGTATAAATAATACCGAATATGGAGTCCACAACGTTAACAAGACGTTAACTTAAGTGTTTATAAAGAAAAGGGTTGTTTTTTCATATTCTACCCACCATTCCCACTCCGTAACCTTTTATAAATTTCAATAATATGTTTAACAGATACATTTTAATTTACAATGGGCAGCAGAGTTTTGAGCAACGCTAATCAAACAGTAACTCATGGAAGCATGTGTATAAGTATCACAAAAATCAAAATAATATATATTGTAACCTGTCTGACATGTACCTATTTTGCATCAGTTTTGTATATTTCTGATGGACCAATGTATGATAAGTAAAGACAACATGGACTTATATATATAGGTAATGGCATGTCGTTTTACCAATAAGTCAAAAGGTATATGTTATGTGTCAATTATGTTACAGTCAAGAGTGCTCGGTTTTAATCAGAATACCCCGTTTTCCACAGTGACACAAAAGAAAATGCAACCAGTTAGCACATCTTCTTTATTATTAATATGAGGGTCGTCGGTGTATCTACTAGCACCCTTATCAAGCAAGTAGATACACCAAGCGTTTATCCATAGAATGCTCCTCGCTTGTTCGATAACGGTGTTAGTAGCTGCACCGAAACGCTCATGTTAACAATAAAGAAGTTGTATATCCATAGAACTCTCCTCGTTGTTCATCACACCAACACATAAATGCCACTCAAAGAAGTTAGCAGTTCTAAATAATGATTTGTCTGGTATTTTTTAATGTCAGAAAGTTTAAAAGGAAATTTTAGAAAACCTGATGCTAAAAAATATTCAACACAAAACTGAAACTTCAAACTGGTAAGTTTATGTTAAACATTCGGGTTCAATAACAATTGTTATGGGTTTGGGGAATTCGCCTCATTATTCTGAGAGTGAAGGTTCGACTCTCGGACGGGACTAAACCCAAGCCAACTGAGTAAGTGTTATCCCACATATAACCAGTGACATCTAGTCACTTTTTAAAGGCATGTGTATTCACTGTGTGAGTAACTGCCTAAACCAGCGTCCTTTCTGTGATCCTATTGATGTGAAGGTAAGAGAACATACGTCAGTTTTGTTACGGTAGTCCAATGTGCCAACAGGACAAAGTGGTATATTTATAAAACACATTTGCATGTAAGAAAGACTGTTATATTTGAACATGACACAGGGCGCCAAAACAAAACATCAACAAAGGATAGAAAGATAGTTGAATTGTTTTAAAAGAATCAAGATCTACTTGATACGTAACGCCGTGAAAACAACACATACTAAAATAATACGTCATATGATATTGAGATATCGTTTCTCGTGATATTGTCGATTTCACCCATTGTAAATGCAATATGTATTCATGCATACAAACCTGCGACCGTTAAATGGCATGCAGGCAGTCTGCCAGAACGTGTGTTGGAAATGAACCATGTTCCAGCATCTCTGAATTGAACCCTCCCCTATCGTAAGGGTGGTTATATTTTCGGCATTCTTCTTGGTTGCAGAGTACGTAGTCGTGCCGCTGCATTGTGGACTACAACTGACGACGTTCTGGCTGTCGAGGGGGCGTACCCAAGCGAAACGATCGTAAACAATCTTTGCAGAGATGTTGTAGGATCCGGAAAAATGAGCTATTGCCGGGCATTCTGTCGATACTGTAACAGAGGTAACCAAGCATCGGTAATCAGTATCATTCTTCTGATTCAATAGACATTCGTACACGTGATTGAGTTTATTTTTATAGCAATGCATGTTCCAGTTTGTTAATGTCGACGAGCAGTTGTGACAATATCATCAGTGAAACACGCGAATCTTGTAAAGGGTAAAGCCATACTCACTAACTCATCACTAAGATACCGCGTACAGTGCTTCTCACACTCAGTGAAACGCATATTTGTTTAACGTTTAGGCTTGAGGAGCAAATGTATACAAGGCTCAAGTAGACGTTTTGTTGTTATTGTTGCCGTGCCTACTGCTGTTGCTATTGCAACTACTGGTGATCGCTTTGTCAAACCTTATCCGTCACAAACTGTGCTGACCACAGTATGATGCTGTCAATCAATACCAAGTCTCAGACGTATGAAATCATTACGAAGCTTGATATTACGTAAGTTGTATAGATACGACTCAGGTTCAAGTAAAGATTTAAACTCACGATAACAATCATATCTTGAACTTTTATATAAAGATGAATGCCAGTCTTGTTTAAAGATATCGATAGCCCTGGTACGAAAATGTTTTATTAATGCATTAACGTCGCCCAGGGTTAGGGATAACCAAACAAATCCAAAGCCGTATCTAAGCAAAAGATTACGAATACGGGATGCCCAAGTATTTTTACCAATATTATCAAGATGGCAGTCATATTGTAGGTTTTTTTTGGGCAGTCGATGTTCTGGCGTATTTATTACTTTACACCAGTACTTTAAACAGCGAGATTAAGAAATTATGTACAAAGGAAATCTCCCACATTCACCGTACTCCATATTATTATGGGTAGACTTCCCAACAATTAAAAACCTTTTACATGCAAGAAGGTGAACCTTTTCAATTACTTGGGAATCAAACAATTTGAAAAATATATTGGGACCAACAACCCCCCAACTTTGGTGTAACAGAGAACAATTGAAGTAGGCCCCTTTTCCCTCTAATTACCAAATTAATAATGGATTTGCTCAGATTTAGAGTATGTGTAAACAGTATCCCTAGATATTTATATTCGTTAACAACAGTCATACCTTCACATTTAAAGTACCACTTTTCTATAGCTGCCGGACCACCCTTACGGAAAACAACAATTTTGGTCTTTCAAGATTAACATCAAGACGTCATTTATCTGAATAAGATGAAAGTGTGTCATGTCTCTGAAGGCCAATAACAATACTTGACATAAGGATCACATCGTCGGCAAAAAGTAAAATGAAAAGTTCAAGAAGATCAGGAAATAATTGGATGCCATGTCTGCCAGATTGTATAATGTCAAAATGTAGTTCGTTGATAAAGAACGAGAACGTATGGGACTTAGAGCACAGCTTTGTCGTACACCAGAAAGACAATCAAAATAGTCACTTAAAGCATTATCATATCGAACACAAGACTTTACATTTGAATACATTGACCTGATAATATCAAACATTTTCCTTTAAGACCCCAATTTCTAAGACATTTCAACATTTTATCCCTATCAACAGAATCAAAAGCCTTTCTAAAATCAACAAAGCTACAAACAATTTTCTTTTACTAAAAGCTAAACATCGCTCAATCACTGAGTATACGGTAAAAATATGATCAAAGGTTGAGTATTCCTTTCTAAATCCAGCTTGTGAATTTGGAATCAAGTTCCTCATATTTGACCACTGTGTTAGCCTATTATTGATAATAGATACAAATGTTTTACCAACAACACTTGTCAGATAAATGCCACGATAACTGTTAGGGTTATTTATGCTTCCATTCTTAAACGATGGAACAATTATTGATTTAGCCCATTCAGATGGAAAACATCTAGAATCAAATATCCGATTAAAGCTTTTAACTAGAAACGGCTTTATCTCAGGCCAGGCAATTTTGATCACCTGCTGCGCGGGGTTAGGTGACAACTGAGTTAGGTGACAACTGAGAATGGATGTTATCTTGAATTTTCACACGGCAAGACAAAGACATTGAAAAGATCTTGACATTGTACGTGTGGTTGTTATTTGTTTTTTCATATGAATGAAAGATCTTCCACAGATTCTCCCACACACAAGAGTGGCATTCACGTTTTCAATCCCTGAAAAAATACCAATAGGCTTGGCTCAAAACATATAGCAAAGATACTCGTGCACCATAAGGATTTACGTGTGTATGGGAGTATGAAATCAATTTCCGTGCATGGAAAATCGGAAGGTAGGGTGTGTCAAAATTAACAAATGATTGTACTTTTGTTTAGTAACTGAGTTGTTATTATTTCAATCTGATCATGTTGATTAGACAAACTGGTGATTAACATTATGAGCTTCGAACAGCAAAACGTGGATGCAAAGGCATCCATTCCAGCGAGTCACCGAAAATGATACGGTCATGTTTGAACTTTTGTCGGAAACCATCACGTGCCCAATCCTTTAATTTCGTCACGATTATATATTTTTGTTTGTCGTTGACATACACAGAGACTCCTAGAACCGCCCTCGGACACTATACTTACCTACAATTATCTTCTTGTCGCCGTCGCAGCTAAGTTCACGATGGATGCCGCCACATTTGAAGTTGACTTTTACGTCCCCGTCATGCACAGAGGTGACTTCAAAGGTCTCGCTGACGACGGTGCTGTTAATGTCGACAACGTGGTGTCTGGGTACCAGCTCCTGCTGGACACTTCCAGTGATGAGGTCGAATGCAGCCTCCTCAGTGCAGTAGTAGTTGGTGATGTTGACAGTGAGAGTCAGGCTTGTACCAGGAATCAGGGATCCATTCCTGGAGCTGCTAATGTCACACTCCGGAGGACCTGTGTATAAATAATACCGAATATCGATTCCACAACGTTAACAAGACGTTAACTTAAGTGTTTATAAAGAAAAGGGTTGGTTATTTTCATATTCTACCCACCATTCCCACTTCGGTAACCTTTTTATAAATTTCAATAATATGTTTAACAGATACATTTTTAATTTACAATGGGCAGCAGAGTTTTGAGCAACGCTAATCAAACAGTAACTCATGGAAGCATGTATAAGTATCACAAAATCAAAATAATATATATTGTAACCTGTCTGACATGTACCTATTTTGCATCAGTTTTGTATATTTCTGATGGACCAATGTATGATTGATTTTTACTTCAAAAATTCTACGGGGGTTACTGCATTTGAGGTAATATATGAACGGAAGGGCTTTTATTATTGACTTTTTCGCTTTTCGTTGGTTTCTGTCAAAATACATTCACGATCTAAGTATTTTGACAATTTATCGTGGTGTAAACGCTACCACAAACTAAAAACACATCCAAACACTTCGACATCAATAAAGGTATTTCGACAGATTTTAAAAGAACATCCATACGTGCGTGCAAGTTTGCATCGTTCACGTTTATCTCAGAATACATTTAAACAATTTACAAATTTAATATGTCTATTTACTTTTGAGAAGTGTCGACACTCCATGACAGGGAAGATTAAATGTTGCGTTGTCACACGTAAAATCCAGTTGAACATTTCCAAGTCGTTTCAGTGTTACGTTGAAGGTGGAGCTGAGGACGATGTCAGTCACATCAGTAACTGTGTGGTTCTTTAACAACACCTCGGGTACGTCACGGCCAGTAATAAGTTCAAACCCTGCCTGTTTTGAGCAGTAGTAACCCCGTATGTTTGCAACCAGTGTCAGCTCTGAATTCGGTTCAAGGGAATCGTAGGACAGAGAGCTGGTGATGGCGCAATTTGGAAGACCTGTTGACAGAGGAAAGAAATGTAACATTTATGTCAACAAAATTAGTTCTCTCTTAGCTTCCGTAAATTATTAGTCATTGTTCTTCTGTAATCAACATGAAGTAAAGACAACATGGACTTATATATAGGTAATGGCATGTCGTTTTACCAATAAGTCAAAAAGGTATATGTTATGTGTCAATTATGTTACAGTCAAGAGTGCTCGGTTTTAATCAGAATACCCCGTTTTCCACAGTGACACAAAAGAAAATGCAACCAGTTAGCACATCTTCTTTATTATTAATATGAGGGTCGTGTCGGTGTATCTACTAGCACCCTTATCAAGCAAGTAGATACACCGAAGCGTTTATCCATAGAACGCTCCTCGCTTGTTCGATAACGGTGTTAGTAGCTGCACCGAAACGCTCATGTTAACAATAAAGAAGTTGTATATCCATAGAACTCTCCTCGTTGTTCATCACACCAACACATAAATGCCACTCAAAGAAGTTAGCAGTTCTAAATAATAATTTGTCTGGTATTTTTTTTAATGTCAGAAAGTTTAAAAGGAAATTTTAGAAAACCTGATGCTAAAAATATTCAACACAAAACTGAAACTTCAAACTGGTAAGTTTATGTTAAACATTCGTGTTCAATAACAATTGGTATGGGTTTGGGGAATTCGCCTCATTATTCTGAGAGTGAAGGTTCGACTCTCGGACGGGACTTAACCCAAGCCAACTGAGTAAGTGTTATCCCACATAGAACCAGTGCCATTTAGTCACTTTTTAAAGGCATGTGTATTCATTGTGTGAGTAACTGCCTAAACCAGCGTCCTTTTTGTGATCCTATTGATGTGAAGGTAAGAGAACATACGTCAGTTTTGTTACGGTAGTCCAATGTGCCAACAGTACAAAGTGGTATATTTATAAAACACATTTGCATGTAAGAAAGACTGTTATATTTGAACATGACACAGGGCGCCAAAACAAAACATCAACAAAGGATAGAAAGATAGTTGAATTGTTTTAAAAGAACCAAGATCTACTTGATACATAACGCCGTGAAAACAACACATACTAAAATAATACGTCATATTATATTGAGATATCGTTTCTCGTGATATTGTCGATTTCACCCATTGTAAATGCAATATGTATTCATGCATACAAACCTGCGACCGTTAAATAACATGCAGGCACTCCGCGAGAACTTGTGTTGGAAATGACCCATGTTCCAGCATCTCCGAATTGAACCCTCCCTATGGTAAGGGTGGTTATATTTTCGGTATTCTTCTGGGTTGCAGAGTACGTAGTCGTGCCGCTGCATGCTGGACTACAAGTGACGACGTTCTGGTTGTCGCTGGGGCGTACCCAAACGAAATGATCGTAAACAATCTTTGCAGAGATGTTGTAGGATCCCGAAAGATGAGCTATTTCCGGGCATAGAGATTCTGTCGATACTGCAACAGAGGTCACCAAGCATCAGTAATCAGTATCATTCTTCTGATTTAATAGACATGCGTGAGAAAGTGATCGATTGTATTTGTAAAGCAATGCTTGTTCCAGTTTTTTAATGTCGACGAGCAACTGTGAACAACATCGTCATTGAAAAACGGGATTCTGGTAAAGCGTAAAGCCATCCTCAGTAACTCATCACTAAGATACCGCGTACAGTGCTTCTCACACTCAGTGAAACGCATATTTCTTTAACGTCTAGGCTGGTTGAGCAAATGTATACAAGGCGCGAGTAGCCGTTTTGTTGTTATTGTTGCCGTGCCTACTGCTGTTGCTACTGCAACTACTGGTGATCGCTTTGTCAAACCTTACCCGTCACAAACTGTGCTGACCACAGTATGATGCTGTCAATCAATACCATCCACAAAGACGCCATTTCCTGGTTCAGAATCATCTGGAACAAAATACAGTGAGTGAGTTAATATTTAACGTCACATCTGCAATATCTCAGCATATCGTGACGAGAACATTTTACATTCAAATGGAATATGTGGATATTATAAAACCTGTCATCGAAGGACAGTAAAACAACTAGAATATCACAATTAGATTTAAAACTAGTGTGGAAGGTTAAAACTAATTTAACTATTAGGAACACAATACAGGCATTGGTAGAAAGCGAGGGAGTGACGTGGAATATACGGGAACATTGGCAGTGTTGTATGTACATAGAGACACTGTTATAATCAAAAGGCAACTGCGCTTCAGCCATGTAGCAACACTGTTTCAGGCATTTTCCATATAGAGAAAGCTTTGAGCCTTGCAACACTGTTTCAGCTATATTGCAATGATCCCTGTCCGATAGAGACGCTGTGACGTTTTTTCAAATGTTATTGGCATGGTATTTGAGTAGTAATGTTTAAGTCGTCAGAGGGCAGTTTTGGTTGATCCGAAAATGTATGCACGAGAATGCATGAATATGTTAATGTAGGCAGGATGACACAGGTCAGGAAAGGCGAATGAAAGGTTGGTGTTTAAATGCGTTCATGCAATCTGGTAGAAAACCCTTTATAAGACGTGAGAAACAAAAACAAAGCGTAATGAATAGAGCTTAAGCGTATGCTTACTAAATTTAGATGTTACGCTTACATCTTCAAAGTCCAAGCGGCGCGATTTGCCAAAACTTCAAATGCAATAGATATCCAATGTCCATTCTGCAATTTATCGCAAAGAGATGAGTACCATGTATTACTTATATGCCCGAAATAAGAGAAACATATTTGCCTTATTTTTTCTATAACCAACCGTCGAGACAAAAATTATGTATGCTACTTCGCACAGAAAATATTGACTTGTTGTTTAAGGTAGCGCTTGTGTTGTACCACATACTTATGTTGAGAGAAAAAATGTGAATTGTGAAGGGGTGTTTATGGATTTATTGATGTTCCTATAACTCGCGTATTTACAGGTTGCGCATAAATGGACTGTTATTATTGTACACATGTACTATTGGCCTCAGGGCCACACATACAAATAAATATGTCTGTCTGAATAGAGCTATGTATAGCGTGCTGCCCTGAATAAACAGACAACACCTGTCAGCCCAGTCTGAATTGAGCGCGCTTGGCAACTCACGTGACCCCGTCGTTTCAAATAGCCCGAGCTCGGCAGAGCGTGCGCCTTACTTTCTCTCACAGCGTGGTTTTAATAGAGGGTGTGTGTTCAAAGTACGTCATACCACAATAGTGACTGGTTCTGTTTCTGAGAGATGGAATGTAGAAATGTATTACTTGTATATAATTCAGTCGTCGGCCATTGCATCGATATTATACAGAACATAATCCTGTACAAGTTTAAAAGGTCTCTTGGGAAAATAGATAAGAAATCTAGAGGCGAGGAACATTTAATATCGTCAAACATCACGCTCTGCTTTTCAAATATCCTGCGCTAACTGGACGGAGCGACCTAGTCTCTCTCAAAGCAAGGCTTGAATAGAAGATACAGAGATACTCAGGCATGACTGACTGGCGGACTGTTCAGTCTCACCTCACGGCTAGATGAAAACTAACTTGTCATGTATTATATTATTAGACTGATATACATAAGAATGATATAGACAACATATCATAGAGTTTTGAGAGATATAGCGAAACAGAATGAGGTGGGGCAGAATGAACGAGATCTAAAAGCTGGAGTATTTCGGTGAGACGTGACTGATCACAGTTCACGAATATTTTAATATGTCCTGGAGTTGAAATGTACAGGCAAGGGACATACCGTATATATACGTAGTTCGTTCATTCTGCCCCACCTCATTCTGTTTCGCTATATCGGTGATTGACAATGTGATTAGGTTGTCTGACAAAACATCCACTTGCACAGTTTGAGATCGATTGGGTCATTGGATGAAGATATATTTACAAAAAACTGGGTCCACATGCATTAGTCGGTAATTCCCGATTAAGGACACCTCAGCTGTTGAGATGATTGAACATACAACCCCCTCCCACTGTGAAACAACTCAAACTCCAAGCGAAAGAGCTGGGGCTGACGGGTTATTCCCGCCTTAGGAAAGACGAGCTAAAGTACTGCCGGAAATAGAAAAAAACTGTATTTTCTCATTTATCTCTACAATTTATGTAGTTGATATGTGAAAGTGTGGAATATCTAAGTTCGGCCTAACAACAGTCTCAGTGGTAGAGAGATAGGAAACGAAGAAAAGGAAAAGCAATGTGGGTTTTTCCTAAGTCCAAAAAGACTTATTTGGAACATACTATGGCTTTATGCAAATTAGTGTGCGACGATATTGTATTACAAAGGACACTTTTTAAATAGCCAATTTGAAATGAGACGTTGATTCATTATAAACGATAGCTGACGTAAAAAATATTAACTTTTATGCCGAAACTATTAAGGATGTAGCTACCATGCAGTCTCACTGTCACTATAAAAAGAAACAGATAGGAGGGGTCGTCTCAAAAGCAAAACATGGGGTCGGGCTTGGGGATAGAGATATCAGCTAAGATTAGATAATCCTTTAGGGCAATTATACTAGGGAGGTACACGGCACGTCATAACAATTTACAAATAATATCCAGTCCTGTCGATCTTCGGCTGGTCATGCCACCTATATACTACGATGCGTTTCTATGGTTTTCGGGTATCATACCCCCTTTACATATCTCAACATAAACTATATGAAACTATATGAAAGAAAGACATGTTTGATGTTAATCAATAGATGAGACATAGTCAACACACATGAAAAAGCACAAAATATCTTTGAAATGACCCCTGGTGCTTGTAGGCAGCACATGCATTTCATGCCAGGTGAGTCGACGGTCCGTCGTCATACCTGGCTGAACGACCTAATTGCCATCTATAGTCTGATCTATTGTTTTCAGCAGCTATTCGAGTTTTGCCCGATTTTACGAGTAAACATGCTTTACTGGATATCGTATTACGCATCCCACTGAACGCCCAGTTAGTCCGAAGTGGGCTATTTCGACATATGCTATCTGCAATTGTGTAAATTTTAGGGATACAGAGTAACAGCCTTAAAACGTTTTTTTTTCTATTTCCGACAGTACTATAGTCGAACGACTTCATGAACCCATACAACCTCCTCCCACGGTGGAACAACTCAAACTCCAAGCAAAGAGCTAGGGCTGGCGGGTTATTCCCGTATGAGGAAACCCAAGCTCGTTGAACTGTTGCACCAACACAGAGTCGTCGATCTACAGTTCGTGCGCACTGAACATGCTATAGGTATTATCTGAGAGGCTGGCGGATGAATGTAGACAAAAATATAGACATCGACGACGTCAAACCTCTGATCGTTGACAAAGTCAATGAGGAATTTAACGACCTGGGAAGCCTCAAATTTCAAATTACGGTGAAAATGTCGCTTGATAAACAGCAGACGGACGGTGCCGTTGAATATGTTCAGCCTTACTTCAGAGGTAAACAAGAAGTCGCGACTCAACCCGAGATGATAGACGCGTCCATCGACACCTCGTTGCAAAAAAATACGAGAATACCTGGAACGCTACACGCACAGGGGTTCCGGGTGGGTCGTGGACAGAATCGATCAGGTCTATCTAGACGTAGCTAACTACATACCGTTCAAAGGCGGATCGTACCTAGACTTGCCCCCCTACTACAAGAAAAAACAAGCCATGGACAACAGATCAAAAACAAATGTAATAATTGTTTGAGGTTGGCGATCAGATCGGCATTGTTTCCAGCTAACATTAATTTGAACATACCTTCGAGCTATCCAAAAGACGACGGACTCAACTGGGATGGCATAGCCGAACCCACCCCCATATCTCAGATCTCTAAAATCGAAAAACAGAACCACATAGCCATCAACGTCTTTGGACACGAAGGCAACGAAACGATCGTGCAAAGGATCACCCCGATGACCAAGGGTCGCATGATTAATATATTCAGTCTGCTGAAGTGTTTTATCCACGTGCAGTTTACGGGTCCACAGACCCGGAAGTAGAAATGTATTTTTTATAGCTTCATTTGCTATATATAGAGAAGCACGGGGCTGATCTCCGCTAGGAGACATTTTAGACGAAATCAGAGGTCATTTTCGTGTTTACTGGCAAAAGTTTAATTTAAAACTTCGTGTGAAAGACGACAGTTTTAAACACGAATTTTAGTAATGCTCCAAAACATCAATCCAATCGTTAGTAATCAAGGGGAAATCCCGATGACGTTCCTTTTATCTGATTGGTCAATTGTGCACGCACTGCCACAACTTTAACGCCATACGAATCGACATGCCCAACGAAAACGACAACATCTTAAAATTCGCCAACCACAAAAATCAAATGTCCGTACCTTACATCATCTACGCCGACTTCGAAGCCCTCATCAAACACGTTGACACCATAGTCCGTCCCCGGACAAAAGTTTCACATACAAAACGCAGTAGCACGAGGCCTGTGGATTTTGATACGTGGTCGTCTGATGCGATGGGAAAACAAACGCTCCCGTGGTGCACAGAGGTCCCGACGTGGCTGAAAAATGTCTCATGTGTTTGCAACACGGAGAGAAAATGATCAGGAAAAAGTTGTACACCGTCGTTCCCATGTGCATGACCCAAGCCAACAAGCGAGCTCACAACGGCAGCCACCTGTGCCACGTGTGCAACGAACTGCTGAACGGCGATTCGGTGAGAGATCACTGCCACGTCAGCACGTGTGATAGACCTGATTTGTATTTCGGTCCATATCGTATGCAGCACTAGTCTGTGTTCCAGTCTACGCATTACCACGGTTTTTTGAATGCCTGCTCATTGTGTCCCATTTTCATCCACCCCACCTTCTGTTTTTGTGAGGCTGTCACATTGCCACTGACGTATTTCTGAATTCACATTGTGTGTCAGTACGTGCATTGTTTTCTACAATGATTCCAGAAAGTGTAATCCCTAAAATAACA